CAGAGTTTGCAAAGCATCTTTACAGAACTCTCACTGGATCGTCACAGTCACCTTTTTTTTTGAGACAGAGACTCACTGTCTCCCAGGCCGGAGTGCAATGGGTTGATCTTGGCTCCTCCCCTTCCTGGGCTCAAGTGAACATGAGCTTCCTGCCTTAGCTACCCAAGTAGCTGGGACTACAGATGTGCACCACCATGTCCAGCTACTTTTTGTATTTTTGGTAGACACAGGGTTTTGCCATTTTGCCCAGGCTGGTCTTGAATGCCAGAGCTCCACCTGCCTTGGCCTCCCAAAGTGCTGGGATTACAGGTATGAGCCACCGTACCTTGCCCTCACAGTCACCTTTTGAAGAGCCTCCTGCTCAAGAGATCCTCCTGCCTCAGCCTCTGAGTAGCTGTGCACCACCATGCTTTGCTACTTTTTTATTTTTTCTAGAGATGGGGTCTCCCTGTGTTGTCCAGGCTAGTCTCAGACTCTTGAGCTCAAGCCATCCTCCCACCTCAGCCTCCCAAAGGGCTGAGATTATAGGTGTGAGCCACGGTACCTGGCCAAGTATTAGTTTTAGAGATGAATAAACTGGGGCTGACTCAAACTGACTCAAAGTCACACTGTCATTATCTTGCTGTTCTTACTGGCATTTGGGACCTGTGTGGTTTTTGGCTTCAGCTCCAGCTTTAGCCATTTTTCTCCTGTTCTTTTAGGTAAGGATCTTCTGACCCAGACCTCAGATTCCCATTCCCTTCTTAGCTCCTCTGCTGGTATAGCTCAGTCCTCTTCCAAGACCATGCAAGATTCAGACACTAACAGGTGGGGATGGAGGAGCTAGGACTGAAACTCACATCTTGTGATCGAAGGCTGGTTCCTCTTTTGCCCAGCACTACACAGCTGTCTGCTCACGGTCATGTGACAGGGACTTCCCCAGCCAGAACCTTCAGGGAGCACAAATAAAGGAAGGAGCCGGAAAGCACACAACAGCATTTGTTCCGTCCAAGCCTCACATATCAGCATGGGTAGGGAGAAGGTTTCTTTCAAGGACTTTGATAGGGAAGGACATTTATCAGTGAAGAGAGGTTTTGAGGGGAGTGAACCAATCTTGAGATAAGTAAACAAAAGAGCTTTGAGTCTGGTGTTTCCCTGTTTGCTTCTGCCCCCTGGAGGAGCAAATACTCCATGATTAGAGACGTGTGAGTCCTGACAGGAAGTGTTTGGAAAAGAATAGCAGTGATGGAACTGGAGTCTGAGTCCAGGTTCTCTCCTTATTCAGCCTGGATGCAGTTCTGGGTATCAAAGCCTTGCCTGCACCCTCGGCGGAGATGGCTAGGGAACAGTGCGGCCAGGCCTCTTCTACCACAGACATTTTTCTTTTTTTATAAATATACACATTTAAAATTTAATGGTACTCCGAAATTGCTCCTCAAAAAGGCTGTACAAAATTACAGTCCTAATAACAGCTACCTGGAGATCCTATGAAGGCATCTGCCCTCATCATCATCATCATTATTATTATTATTTTTGAAGCAGAGCCCTGCTCTGTCGCCCAGGCTGGAGTGCCATGGCACAATCTTGGCTCACTGCAACCTCCACCTCCCAGGTTCAAGCAGTTCTCCTGTCTCAGCCTCCTGAATAGCTGGGATTACAGGTATGAGCCACCATGCCTGGCTGCCCTCATTATTTAATGGGTTATTTGCAACCTGTTAATCACATCTCCTATTTCTGTGCTAATGCTGCTTATTGATTATAGACTTAGGAATATCAATCAACATCTTCTTTGTATCTCTTTCTTCTTACATGATATAATAATTATTTTATTTTTTGAGATGGAGTCTTGCTCTGTTGCCCAGGCTGGAGTGCGGTGTCACCATCTTGGCTCACTTCAACCTCTGCCTCCTGGATTCAAGCGATTCTCCCACCTTAGCCTCCCAAGTAGCTGGGATTACAGGCACCTACTACCATGCCAGCTAATTTTTATATTTTTAGTAGAGATGGGGTTTCACCATGTTGGCCAGACTGGTCTTGAGCTCCTGACCTCAGGTGATCTGCCCTCCTGGGCCTCCCAAAGTGCTGGGATTACAGATATGAGCTGCTGTGTTCAGCCAATAATTCATTGTTTAATCCTTAGTTGTAGGCCAAGCAAAGGAGAAAGGTAAGAAGCCATTTCCTTTTACTGATAGGAAAGGTTAAAGGACTAACCTAGTGAATTATTTACCTAAAAATGTATACAAATCACTCCACAAATTAATTTAATTATATTAATTAAATTAATGCAGATTCACTTAATAAATTAAGTACTAATTTAGTTATATCTTCGCAGTTACTGATTTAATTATATCCTCACCTGTGGGTGAGGAATTTTGGAGCAGCTTAGTTGGGCTGTTCTGGCCCAGAGTCTAGTGAAGTTGTGATCAGTTGTCAGCAGGCCATCTGAATGCTTGATTGGAATTGGAGGTTCCACTTCACATGACTGGGAAGTTGGTGCTGGCTGTTGGCAGGAAGTCTGTCCTTCATGTGTCTCTCTGAGGGACTGCTTGAGTACTTTCACGGTGTGGTGGTGGGCTTCCCCTAGAGTGAGCCACTCAGAAGAAAGATTGTGAGGTCTGGACTTCAATCAGACTGAAAAAAAAAAGAGAGAGAGAGAGACAGAGAGAGAGAGAGAAAGAAAGAGCCAGGTAGAAGCTGTATCATTTCTGTGATCTAGCTTTGGTAGTGACATATTATCACTTCTGCCACAGTGTATTCATTTCAAATGAGTTACCAAATCTGGTCTACTTACAAGGAGAGGGGAGGTACTCTATCTTTGTAAGGGAGGAGTATCAAAGAGTTTCTGAATGTATTTTAAAACCACCATATCTGGTAGGATTTTAGGCCAACCCAGAAGCCTGGGCCAGAAAGTTCTCCTAGACCCTATGTGAGTATATAGATATGGCTCATAGGCTGAGTGAATTAAATTCAGAGCACTCAAGCCAACTCTCACAGGTCCAGTGGCTCCTTAGTCCAGTTTTTTTTTTAAACCCATGATTGTGTTTCTTTTCCTTTATCTTTCTCCTGTTTTCTTCTAAGAATCCAGAAGAGAAATTGAGTCTTCACTCACTTTTATATTTCATTAGTATTTGGTAAAGTTTGCTGGGCAAGAAGGTTGAAACTACTGAGTGAAGCTGTGAATCTTTGACTTATTTGTAACTATCTATGCTTCATATAATTCCCATTTAGCATAATTGAGAACTTGTAGTAAACAGTTATGTGATGCCTTGAGGTATTTTCCCCCCTCTTGATCTCTTTCTGTGATGCATAAACTAGTATAAGATGGGGCCCCTTTATTCCTTGGTGGAAGTGATACCTGCTATAATTATTATTGTGTTGTTTGGTTTGGGGTGAACACAGAGGTAAACTTTTGGAAGATCACAGCCCAGGAGAGGAATATAGGTTGGTACTCAGTGATGAGACATCGAAACAAATACAGAGAAGTGGACTAATAGTTTGAGTGACATCCTGAATTGGGAGATGCTTGTTTAGTTTCTGGGTTTTTAATTTTAATTTTAATTTTTTCCCTTTTATTTATTTATTTATTTTTAAGACGGGATTTCACCATGTTGGTCAGGCTGGTCTTGAACTCCTGACCTCAGGTGATCCGCCTGCCTTGGCCTCCAAAGTGCTTGGATTATAGGCGTGAGCCACCGCACCTGGCCAGTTTCTGGGTTTTGAATAGAGCAGAATTTCTGCCCAGCAAATGAACTAAAAATTGGAGGCATCCCCCAGATAAGGAACAGAAATAGAACGAGTAGTTCAAACAAATATGGAATTTAAAAATTATTATTATTTTTATTTTTTGTAGAGACAACGTCTCGCTATGTTGCCCGGGCAGGTCTTAAACTCCTGGCCTCAAGGGATCCTCCTGCCTCACCTCCCAAGTAGTTGACACTACAGGCATGAGCCACTGCCCCAGGCCGGATGTGGAATTTCTGAATGGGGAAGAGAAAAAAGTCTCCCTTTGCTATTAGAAAGATATAAATTGATTCAGGATGCTGTGTTTATTCCTCCAATTAAGGCAGACTGAACAGATGAATAAGAACTGGACTTGGTAGGATCTCTAGGGCCATAGAAACTTCTAGACGAGGGAAAAAAAGATTTTAAACAAAGGAACAAGACTAATATTTATTGAGTATCAAGAGCTTTATTTGTATTATTTAATTATCAGAGTAGTGGATGTTATCACTTCCATTTAAAGTAGGAGGTGGGAGGGCTGGGTGCAGTGGCTCAGGACTGGATGTGATAGCTTATACCTGTAATGCCAGCACTTTTAGAGGCTGAGGTGGGAGGATCACTTGAGCCCAGGAGTTCAAGACCAGCCAGGGCAACATGGCAAAACCCCACCTCTATAAAAATTACAAAAATTAACCAGGCATAGTGGTGTGTGCCTGTAGTCTTAGCTACTTGGGAGGTTGAAGTGGGAGGATCGCTTGAGTCCAGGATGTCGAGGCTGCAGTGAGCCATGATTGTAGCACTGTACTCCAGCCTGGGCAACAGAATGAGACCTTGCCTTGAAAAAAACAAACAAAACCTAAAAAATAAAAAAAAAACTAATAAAGTTAGGGAGACCCACTTTCTTAAGGTTGTGCAGCCCAAGGTGTGGTAAGGTCAGCATTAGAAAGCAGGCTTGTCTGACATGAAGTCTGCTCTCTCCACTACCTTACACCGCTTCTCGAGGCAAAGTCAATCCAAGGTTCTAGACTAGTCTATACCTGTGGCTGGTTGTGGTGGTGGCTGGCATCAGGCAGGGACAGTGGTATAGCAGGGCAGAGACCATATTTAGGTACCTAAAGTCTTATCTTTCATGTTTCAGGTGATTTTGTTCCAACTGCCTAGGACTCAGGCCCATCTAAATATGACAAAAGCCGAAGCTTTTCCTAATGGAGATTAGACCATGACTAGGATTCCTTCCCAGTTCCTCTTGAGCTCTCCTCACTCCAGTGTTCTTTTCCATGTTTGTTTTTTGTTTCCCCCAGAGCTTCTTCGAGATACCTTCACTTCCCTGGGCTATGAAGTTCAGAAATCCTTGCATCTCACTATGGATGGTATATTACAGGTTCTTCAACGAGTTGCCTGTATGCCCCAACACCAAGACTACGACAGCTTTGTGTGTGTCCTGGTGAGCCGAGGAGGCTCCCAGACTGTGTATGGTGTGGATCAGACTCACCCAGGGCTCCCCCTGCATCACATCAGGAGGATGTTTATGGGAGATTTATGCCCTTATCTAGTAGGGAAGCCAAAGGTGTTTTTTATTCAGAACTATATGGTGTCAGAGGGCCAGCTGGAGGACAGCAGCCTCCTGGAGGTGGATGGGCCAGCGATGAAGAATGTGGAATCCAAGTCTCAGCAGCGAGGGCCGTGCACAGTTCACCGAGAAGCTGACTTCTTCTGGAGCCTTTGCACTGCAGATGTGTCCCTGCTGGAAGAGTCCTGTGGCTCACCGTCCCTGTACCTGCAGTGCCTCTCCCAGAAACTGAGACAAGAAAGGTGAGCCCCCAAGAGGTGGTCAGTCCTGGACCACCTGCTTATTTTTGTGCCACCAAGAAGGGAATTACCACTGTGCTACGTTTGCTGCCCTTCTCTTCAGGGAGGAAAAGAGATTTTCCCTCCTGCATTAGGGTTGCCCTAGGACTACAATATAGACCTGGCATGATTTATAAACACTTTGTGTTAGTTAGCTTGTAGTTTCAATACTTTCCTTCAAAATTAATAAATTTCCAGCCCAGGCAACTGAGAACTTGCTCTATAAAAAATTTAAAAATTAGCTGGATGTGGTGGCATGCGCTTGTAGTCCCAACTGCTTGGGAGTCTAAGGTAGAAGAATCACCTGAGCCTAGGAAGCCCAGGAATTTGAGGCTGCAGTGAGTCAGGATTACACTGCTACACTGCAGCCTGGGCAACAGAGGGAGACCTTGTCTCCAATAAATAAATCAATATATGAATAAAACAAATTTTTAGGCTCGGGGTGATGGTTCATACCTGTAATTCCAGCTACTCAGGAGGCTGAGGCAGGGGAATTGCTTGAACCAGGGAGGTGGAGGTTGAAGTGAGCTAAGATTGCGCCTCTGCACTTCAGCCTGGGCAACAGAGCAAGACTCCATCTCAAAAAAAAAAAAAAAAGAACAAATTTTTATTTTTAATTTATCTTATTTTTGAGACAGAGTTTCACTCTTGTTGCCCAGCCTGGAGTGCAGTTGCCTAGTCTTGGCTCACTGCAACCTCTGTCTCCTGGGTTTCAAGTGATTCTCCTGCCTCAGCCTCCAGAGTAGCTGGGATTACAGGCGCCTGCCATCACACCTGGCTAAATTTCTGTATTTTTAGTAGAGACAGGGTTTCACCATGTTGACCAGGCTGGTCTGGAACATCTGGCCTCAAGTGATCCATGCACCTTGGCGTCCCAAAGTGCTGAGATTACAGGTGTGAGCCACTGTGCCCAGACTTATTTTTAATATTTTTATTAAAGCAATGTATAGCATTTATAGAAAAATCCTAAAATATACCTAGGTGCTAAAAGTAGAATGTCATAAGTAGTTGTAAGCTTACTGAAACTAATTTCTATTAATCAAATCTTGATGTATTGCCTTCCAGATCTTTTTTACTTGATAGCCACACAACCACATATAGAAGTATGTCTTTTTTGTTTGTTAGTTTGTTTTTGAGATGGAGTCTCGCTCTGTTGCCCAGGCTGGAGTGCAGTGGTGTGATCGTGACTCACTGCAACCTCTGTCTCCGGGGTTCAAGTGATTCTTCTGCCTCAGCCTCCTGAGTAGCTGGGATTACAGGTGTACGCCACCATGCCCAGCTAATTTTCTTTTTTCATATTTTTAGTAGAGACGGGGTTTCACCATGTTTGTCAGGCTGATCTCAAACTCCTGACCTTGTGATCCGCTTGCCTCAGCCTCCCAAAGTGTTGGGATTACAGGCATCAGCCACCGTGCCCAGCTCATTTGTTTTTTTTGAGATGAAGTCTTGCTCTGTTGCCCAGGCTGGAGTGCAGTGGCACATCTTGGCTCATTGCAACTTCTATCTCCTGGGTCAAGCAATTTTCTTGCCTCGGCCTCCTGAATAGCTGGGACTATAGGCATGTACCTCCATGCTCCTAATTTTTGCATTTTTAGTAGAGATAGGGTTTCACCATGTTGGCCAGCCTGGTCTCGAACTCCTGACCTCAAGTGATCCTCCTGCCTCCCAAAATGTTGGGATTACAGGTGTGAGCCACCATGCCCAGCCCAGAAGTATGTTTGCAAGCCCAGATGGAATCATAATCTATTATTTCTTTTTTTTGAATTAAAATAATATTAATACAGTTCAAATCAGCATGTCTGGCTCATTTCAGCTCCTTTATTGCCAAACCAGGAGACAAGGACTGCTTTAGTTTCTCTGCCTTCTCTTTCTCTGTGATGACCAAGGTATAGCTACATCGAACTTTAAAGTTCACATTATCCTTGTTTTTCTTGATCTTGACAAATGTGACATGCTTTCACCTGGCTGTGAGCAGAAAGTCCTTGATTTCCTGTTTTTCAAGGCATGGCGGTGAGGCACACAGGGAGAGGGCAAGGACCAGTACCCCTCTAGCCTGTGTATCGCCTGAAACTCGCAGCCTACCACTACTTTATAACTTGCTTTTAGTTTGTTTAACAGATTACAAACATTTTTGCATGTCAGTAGTCACATTTCTACAGCATCAGTTTAATGTCTGCACAACAGCCCATTGTAAGGCTATAGCTTAATTTACTTGACCAATCTTCAGTTGTTGGATAGTGTTTGCTTTCCTACAAAGTAAGTATTAAACATCCTTGCAGCTTAGTATTTGTTCTTATCCTTAATTGTTTTCATGCAGGACAATTCCTGGAAGTGAAATTACTGAGTCAAAGGACATGCATTTTTCAAGCCTTGGAGGTATCTTACCAGATGTCCTGTAGGATTGTCATACCAGCTTAATGGGAGAGTAGCTGTGTCCCTGAATTCTCCCTCACTGCATGTTCTTATATTTCCCTAAGTTTTGACAATTTGATAGGTGAAAAATGGTATCTGACTATTCAGGTCTGGAAGACTTTGTTATATAAACATTTTTAAAATGTTTATTGGCAAGAATACTTTTCTAAGAGAAACATCAGTGTCCTGGTATCCATTTAAGCTGAATGAAGCCACAGTGTACCTCAAGTATAAGATTAACTAGCTTTTTTCAGTTGTACCCTAATTACAGTTTAGAATGATATTTCTGAGCCACCTGTCAAATGCATTCTGGGCTGTACCTCTGCATACCCCAGGAATAAATCTCATGGCCTTTACCTGGTCTCCTTAGTGGTGGCCTGGCAGGAAGCACGGGTTAGAGCAGGAGCCACTCAGCCTTCCAAGATAGATACTCCATGGACCAGTGGTATTACTGGCCTTTTGAGCCCTCTTTATTTGCATAGGTGATCCACATGGGTTATCATATGGCTGGTATATTCCCAGAATGAAACTTGGCTGCCCCTTGAGGGAGGAGGATGGTGGCCACCAGGCCAGAGCACTGTAAGTTAGTTTGGATCATTCATTAAGCAGCTTGTGGTGCCTTTAGAAAGGAACAGTTTCAAAGAACTTTCACATCTTTTGGCTCATTTCACCCTAACGACAATCTGTCTTCTCTTTGATATTTGCATGGCATTAAGTTTTGCCTTTCTTGTTTCCTCCAGAAAACGTCCACTCCTGGATCTCCACATTGAACTCAATAGCCACATGTATGATTGGAACAGCAGAGTTTCTGCTAAGGAGAAATACGATGTCTGGCTGCAGCACACTCTGAGAAAGAAACTTATCCTCTCTTACACATAAGAGACCAAAAGGCCATGCACAGTGGCTCTTGCTTGCAATCCTGGCGCTTTGGGAGGCCAAGGAGGGCAGATCGCTTGAGGTCAGGAGTTCAAGATCAGCCTGGCCAACATGGCAAAACGCTGTCTCTAATAAAAATACAAAAATTAGCTGGGTGTGATGGGTACCTGTAATCCAAGTTACTTGGTAGGCTGAGACAGAGGATCTTTTGAACCCAGGAGTTCAGGATCATAGATTATGATTGTGCCTATGAATAACCGCTGCATACCAACCTGGGCAATATAGCAAGACCCCATCTCTTAAAAAAAAAAAGGACAGGAACTATTTTAGTCCATGTATTAGTCAGGTTTCTCTAGAGGAGCAGAACTAATAGGATAGATGTATACATAAAGGGGAGTTTATTAAGGAGTGCTGACTCACACAAACACAAGGTAAAGGCCCACAAAAGGCCATCTGCAAGCAAGGAAGCCAGTCTAAGTCCCAAAGCTGAAGAACTTGGAGTCCAATGTTTGAGGGCCGGAAGCGTTCAGCACAAGAGAAAGATGGAGGCCAGAAGACTAAGCCAGTTTAGTCTTTCTATGTTCTTCTGCCTGTGCGTACCCAGATTGAGGATGTCTGCCTTTCCCAGTCCACTGACTCAAATGTTAATTTTCTTTGCCAACATTTTCACAGACACACCCAGGAACAGTACTTTGCATCCTTCTATCCAATCATGTTGATACTCAGTATTAACCATCACAGTCCATCTGGGCAATTATACCAAATTACCTTAGACTGGGTGACTTAAACAGCAGTTATTTTTCACAGTTGTGGAGGCTGGGATATACAACATCTAGGTGGTAGCAGATCTGGTGTCTGGTAAGGCATGCTTCCAGGTCTTCTCGGATGTTGGTCTTTTCATGTCCTCACATGGCAGAAAAAGACAGAGGAAGCAGGCTCTCGTGTATCTTTTTTTTTTTTTTTTTTTTTTTTGAGACAGAGTTTTGCCCTTGTTGCCCAGGCTGGAGTGCAATGGCGGATTTTGGCTCCCTGCAACCCCTGCCTCCCTGGTTGAAGCGATTCTCCTGCCTCAGCTTCCCAATGTGTATCTTCTTTAAGGGAACTAATCTCATTCATGAGGGCTGTACCCACAAGACCTAATTACCTCCCAAAGGCCCCACCTTCTGATACTGTCACATTGGGGAAAATGTTCCCCTTTTGAATTTTGAGGGGACACAAACATTCAGTCTGTATTCATTTAATGGCCTTATGATTTAGAGGTTACTTGTTCTTTCACCTTGACCTCAAGTCGCATTTAACAGCTAATCAAGTATATCTTTCTCCGATTAGATAGTGTGACCTAAAAGGGGACCGTTGTTTAAAATATCATTAGAATTGACCTGCGCCACTGCCTGCAGCGCGCAGAGCCGGAGCCCGAGCCCAAGCCGCGCCGGGCCCCACGTTGTGCCCCTGGGCCTCAGCGGCAGGTAGGCGATGCTCCAGCGGCCTGACTAGCCATGGAGGCCGAGGCAGGCGGCCTGGAGGAGCTGACCGACGAGAAGATGGCAACACTGGGCAAGGAAGAGCGGCGGGAGGAGGCGATGCGCCTTGCGGCACTGGTGCAGTGCGACCGCCTCATGGAGGAGGTGAATTGGCAGCTGCAGGGCCACCTGGACGAGATCTGTCAGCTCAGGCAGCTCAATCGGCGCCTGCTGGCAGAGAACCGTGAGCTGCACGACCTCTGCCGCTTTGTGGACTGAAGCGCCAGCGCGGGCGGCACACGGCTCACCAGTAGAAGCTCTTCAGGACCCAAGCATCCCAGACCGTGTGGGAGGACCTGGGCAGTGTAGCAGAATACCACTTTTTAAACGATTTTTTTTTTAATGGCAGGAATGGCCTTTATTGGCTGCAGCGGTAAGTGGAAGAGGGGATACTGCGTCTACAGATTTGCTCACGATCCAAAAGCTTAAATGATTTTTTAAAATTATTTATTTATTTTTATATTTCTTGAAGTTAGTTTTAACTGATGTGTATCTGTATGTGTATTTGTGTGTAGTTTGTCATGATTATGCAACAGAGGCTGAAAAGTTGAAAGAGACAGTTTTCAGGAACAACAAGCAACTATTCCCACTTTCCAAGTTATTTTGAGGCCGTGGTGGCTCACACCTATAATCTGAGTACTTTGGGAGGCTGAAGCCGACGGATCACTTGAGCCCAGGAGTCTGAGACCAGCCTGGGCAATATAGCAAGGCTCCATCTCTATAAAAAAGTAAAAAAATTAGCTGGTTGTGGTGGCTTAGTCCTATAGTCCCAGCTACTTGGGAGGCTAAAGTGGGAGGATCCCCTAAGCCCAGAGAGGTTGAGGTTGAGCTGTGATCACACCACTGTACTTCAGCATGGGAGACAGAGTGAGAACCTGTCTCAGAATAAATAAATAAATAAAACCACCAGCACCACGGACAACAACAAAAAGTTATTTTGCACTTTTTTTCAGCACAGGACTCCTGAGGGTATCTTTGCATTTAATATTGCATAGGGGTGCCAGTGGGAAGTAATGTGTATGCTTGACCTCATAAAACTGAAATTCAACGTCCCTTTATGTGAGAAAAATATCTCAAAATAATAACCATTTATGATAAACCCACAGCTAATATCATACTGAATGGGCAAAAGCAGGAAGCATTCCCCTTGAAAACTGGTACAAAACAAGGGTGCCCCATCTGACTACTCTTATTCAACATTGTATTGGAAGTTTAGGCCAGGGCAATCAGGCAAGAGAAAGAAATAAAGGATATTCGAATAGCAAGAGAGGAAGTAAAACTGTCTGTTTGCAGAAAGCCCCATTGTTTCCAAAAAGCTCCTTAAGCTGATAAGCAACTTGCAGCAAAGTCTCCGGATACAAAATCAGTGTGCAAAAATCACAAGCATTCCTGTAACCAGCAATAGACGAACAGAGAGCCAAATCATGAATGAACTTCCATTCACATTTGCTACAAAGAAAATAAAATACCTAGGATCACAGCTAGCAAGAGAAGTGAAGGACCTCTTCAAGGAGAGCTACAAACTACTGCTCAAGGAAATAAGAAAGGACACAAACAAATGAAAAAACAGTCCATGCTCGTGGATAGGAAGAATCAATATTGTGAAAATGGCCATACTACCCAAAGTAATTTATGGATTCAATACTATTCCCATTAAACTACCATTGACATTCTTCACAGAATTAGAAAAATGCTACTTTAAAATTCAAATTGAACCAAAAAGCCCATATAACCAAGACAATCCAAGACAATAATAAACAAAAAGAACAAAGCTGAAAGAATCACACTACCCAACTTCAAACTATACTGCAAGGCTACAGTAACCAAAACAGCAATGAACTTGAACGAAAACAGACATATAGACCAATGGAACAGAATAGAGACCACAGAAAGAAGACCACACATCTATAGCTATCTGATCTTCTACAAAGCTGCCAAAAACAAGCAGTGGGGAAAACATTCCCTATTTAATAAATGGTTCTGGGAAAACTGGCTAGCCATATGCAGAAAACTGAAACTGGACTCCTTCCTTACACCTTATACAAAAATTAACTCAAGATTAAAGACTTAATGTAAGACCTAAAGCTATAAAAACCCTAGAAGAAAATCTAGTTAATACCATTCAAGACATAGACAAGGGCAAAGATTTCATGACAAAAACATCAAAAGCAATTGCAACAAAACCAAAAATTACAAATGGGATCTAATTAAAGAGCTTCTGCACAGCAAAAGAAGCTATCATCAGAGTGAACAGAAAACCTACAGAATGCAAGAAAATTTCTGCAATCTATCCATCTGATAAAGGTCTAGTATCCAGAAACTACAAGGAACTTAAATAGACATTAAAAAAAAAACATCAAAAAGTGGGCAAAGGAGATGAACAGACACTTCTCAAAAGAAGCCATTTATGTGGCCAACAAACATGAAAAAAAAGCTCAACATCACTGATAATTAGAGAAATGCAAATCAAAATTACAATGAGATACCATCTCATGCTGGTCAGAATGGTGATTATTAAAAAGTCAAAAAAAACAGGTGCTGGGGAGGATGTGGAGAAATAGGAACACTTTTACCTTGGTGGTGGGAATGTAAATTAGTTTAACTATTGTTGAAGACAGTGTGGCCATTCTTCAAAGATCTAGAACTAAAAATACCATTTGTCCCAGCAATCCCATTACTGGGTATATACCCAAAGGAATATAAACTATTTTATTATAAAGATACATGCACATGTATGTTCACTGCAGCACTCCTCACAATGGCAAATGCCCATCAATGATAGACTGGATAAAGAAAATGTTGTACCTATGCACCATGGAATAATATGCAGCCATAAAAAGGAATGGGATCAGGTCTAGCATGGTGGCTTATGCCTGTAATCCCAGCACTTTGGGAGGCCGAGGCAGGCGGATCATCTGAGGTTGGGAGTTTGAGACCAGCCTGACCAGCATGGCAAAAGCCTGTCTCTACTAAAAATCCAAAATTAGCTGGGTGTGGTGGCGCATGCCTGTAATCCCAGCTACTCAGGAGGCTGAGGCAGGAGAAATTGCTTAAACGAAGAGGAGGCAGAGGTTGCTGTGAGCTGAGATCATGCCATTGTACTCTAGCCTGGACAAGAGTGAAACTCTGTCAAAAGACAAAAAAAGAAATTAGGTTATGTCCGTTGCAGGGACATGGATGAAGCTGGAAGCCATTATCCTCTGTAAACTAATACAGGAACAGAAAACCAACACTACATGTTCTCATTTGTAAGCAGAAGCTAAACAATAAGAACACATGGTCACAAGGATGAGATCAACACACACTGGGGCCTTTTGTAGGGGTGGTGGGAGGGAGAGCATCAGGATAAACAGCTAATGCATGCAGGGTTTAATACCTAAGCGATGGGCTGATAGGTGCAGCAAACCACCATGGCACATGTTTACCTATGTAACAAACCTGCACGTCCTGCACTTGTATCCAGAGCTTAAAATTAAAATAAAACAAAATAAGTTAAATCTTAGATAATAAGAAAAAAAAGATTCTTCAGTGCGTACACAATAAAATTGCAGTTCAAACATTCAGAGTCTTTAACTGTCTAGTCGGTATCTTCATTTTCAGCCTCCCCACTCCAAACACTGTAAGCGCAGCCAAATTGAACAGCTCACAGCTCCAACCTCTGGATCTTTGGTCTTGGAGATTGTATATTTATGGTCCATCTGGAATCCCGCCATATCACCCTACCCCACATCTTCATATCTCTAAAATATAACCGTACTTCAAGGCCAGCTCAAATACTATCTCCTTCTGTCCTCCATGAAGTCAGTTATCTCTTCCATTGGAATTATCACCCCCTCTCCCGAACAGTACTATTTCATGTGAATCTCCTCCAAGGCTTCTTTTGATTTTATATCTCACGCTGCAATTCTTGGAGAGTATGTTGTTTGAGTGCAGAATTCTCAACAGTTTTATCTTTATATCTCTCCTAGGTGTTTTACCTGACTCAGAGCCTGGCACACAAATATATATTGAATGAATTAGTGATGCAATGAAAAGAGAAATGATGCGTCTCTTAAATTTAACTTTTATAAAATATTTTGATATATTCATGACCTTACTTTAGCAAGCAATGTACTGAACATAATTTACACTTGTTGATATAGTTTTTATATTGTGAAGTGTAAGTAGTTTGTGGCATGGGATTGTGACATATCCTAGGTTTCCTTGTCTTTTTATTTTTTATTGAAATGTAATTTATATGCCATAAAATTTGCCCTTTTAAAGTATGTGATGCAGTGGATTTTAGTATATTCACAGAATTGTGCAATCATCACCACTGTCTAATTCCAGAACATTTCCATCTACCTAAAAAGAAACTCCATACCAATTAGCTGCCACTCTAATCCTCCTCTTCCCCCAGTCTCCAGAAACAAGTAATTCATTTTCTGTCTCTATGATTTGTCTCTTCTGGATATTTTATAAAAATAAACATATGGACTTTTGTGTCTGACTTCCTTCATTTAGCAGGTTTTCAAGGTTCATCTATGCTGTAGAATGTACCAATACTTCATTCCATTTTATAGCTGAGTAATATTCTATTGTGTGGATATACCACATTTTATTTTATTCATCAGTTGATGGAAATTTAGATTGTTTCCACTTTTTTTCTATTATGCATGATGCTATGAATATTTGCATATGAGTTTTTATATGGATGTATGTTTTCATTTCTTCTGGGCATATACCTTAGAAGTGAGAATGTTCGCCATATAGTAACTCTGTGTTTAGCCTTTTGAAGAACTGCCAAACTGCTTTTCAAAGTAGTGGCACCATTTTATATTCCCACCAGCAGTAGGTTTTTTTTTTTGAGATGGAGTCTCACTCTGTCACCCAGAGTGTAGTGCAGTGGCATGATTTTAACTCACTGCAACCTCCGCCTTCCGTGTTCAAGTGACTCTACTGCCTCAGCCTCCATAGTAGCTGGGATTACACGCGCCTGCCACCATGCTTAGCTAATTTTTGTATTTTTAGTAGAGATGGTTTCACCATGTTGGCCAGTCGGGTCTCAAACTCCTGACCTCAGGTGATTTGCTGTCTCAGCCTCCCAAAATGCTGGAATTACAGGCATGAGCTACTGTGCCCAGCATCAAATTCCCATTTTAAGATGTGGTTGTCTTTTTTTTTTTTTTCTGAGATGGAGTCTCCCTCTGTTGCCCAGCCTGGAGTGCAGTGGTGTGATCTCAGCTCACTGCATCCTCAGTCTCCTGGGTTCAAATGATTCTCCTACCTTAGCCTCCCAAGTAACTGGGATTACAGGCATGTGACATCGTGTCTGGCTAATTTTTGTATTTTTAGTAGAGACAGGCTTTTGCCATGTTGGCCAGGCTGGTCTTGAACTCCTGACCTCAGGTGATCTGCCTGCCTCGGACTCCCAAAATGCTGGGATTACAGGCATGAGCCACTGCACCCGATGGGTTATTTGACTTTTTATTGTTGAGTTGTAAGCATTCTTTTTCTTTTCTTTTTTTTTTTTTTTTTTTTTGAGATGGTGTTTCGCTGTCATTACCCAGACTGGAGTGCAATGGCACAATCTTGGCTCACCACAACCTCCGCCTTCTGGGTTCAAGCAATTCTCCTGCCTCAGCCTCCCTAGTAGCTGGGACTACGGGCGTGCACCACCATGCCCAGCTAATTTTTGTATTTTTAGTAGAGACGGGGGTTTCACCTTGTTGACCAGGATGGTCTCGATCTCTTGACCTCGTGATCCACCTATAATCCCTCCCAAAGTGCTGGGATTATAGGCGTGAGCCACTGCGCCCGGCCGTAAGCATTCTTTTAAATATTCTGGATATTAGTTTCTTATTAGATACAATCTACGAATATATTCTCCCATTCTGTGGATTGTCTTCTGACTTTCTGGATAATATCCTTTACAGTACAAGTTTTAATTTTGATGAAGTTCAATTGATCTCTGTTTTTTATGTTACTGCTTATGCTTTTGGTGTCATATCTAAGAAACCATTGTCTAAATCAATTGCCCATGAGGTGTTACACCTATGTTTTCTAAAGTTTTATGATTTTAGCTCTTTGACCCATTTTGTGTTATTTTTATGTATGCAGTGTGAGATAAGGGTCCAACCTCATTCTTTTGCACATAAATGTCTACTTGTCTCAGCATTACTTATTGAAAATACTATTTTTTTCCCTATAGAATAGTTTTATACTTATTACAAATCAACTAACTATAAGGGTTTATTTCTGGACTCTATTCTGTTGCTCTATCCTATGCTAGTACCACATTGTCTTGATTATTGTAACTTTGTAGTAAGTTTTGAAATCCAGAAATGTAGTCCTCCAACTTTGCTCCTTTTTTTGTAGAGATGGGGTCTTGCTATGTTACATAGGCTGGTCTCAAACTCCTGGCCTCATGCAGTCCTCCATCTCTGCCTCCCAAAGTGCTGAGGGGTGAGCCACTGCACCTGACCTGTTCTTTTTGTTTGTTTGTTTTTTGAGACGGAGTCTCACTTGGTCTCCCAGGCTGGAGTGTAGTGGCGTGATCTCAGTTCACTGAAACCTCTGCTTCCCAGATTCAACCGATTCTCTTGCCTGTAGCTGGGACTACAGGCGTGTGCTACTGAACCTGGCTAATTTTCTGTACTTTTAGTAGAGACAGGGTTTCACCGTGTTAGCCAGGATGGTCTTGATCTCCTGACCTCGTGATCCACCCACCTTGGCTTCCCAAAGTGTTCGGATTATAGGCATGAGCCACCATACCTGGCTAGCCTGTTCTTTTTCAAAATTGTTTGGGCTGTATTGGTTTTACATTTCCTAAATTTTCATATAACTTTTAGGATTTGCTTGCCAAATTATGTTAAAAGGGCCTCTGGAATTTTGATAGTGATTACACTGAATGCGAGGAGTTTGGCAGGACTAGTTTCCCAAGACATAAGTCACAGACCCTGCTGATAAGATAGGATGTGGTAGAAAGGCAAACCCAAACCAGCCAAAACCAAGATGGTGACAGAAGAGACCTCTGGGTACCCTGGCTGCTCATTCTATGCTAACTGTAATCCATTACCACACTAAAAGAAACTCGTACCAGCACCATGATAGTTTACAAATGCCATAGCAACTTTCAGAAGTTGCCCTGTATGGTCGAAAAGGTCCAGATCTCTCCACCTCTTCTCTGGAAAACTTATGGATGATCCACCTCTTATTTAGCATAATATAGTCAAGAAGCAATCATAAATATAGCCAGTCAGCAGATCATCAGGGCTACTCTCCTTATGGGGTAGCCATTCTTTTATTCCTTTACTTTCTTAATAAACTTGCTTTCACTTTATTCAGTCAGCATGCTCTTGAAATCTTTTCTGAATCCACTTGGCCTCCTGGGCTGAGCCTCAATCTTGGGATACTTTTGCCTGTAACAAACATATAAAGATAAGTTTGGCCGGGCATGGTTGCTCATGCCTGTAATCCCAGCACTTTGGGAGGTGAGGAGGATGGATCACTTGAGCCAAGGACTTTGAGACCACTTTGGGCAACAGAGCAAAACCCTGTCTATACGAAAATTTAAAAAATTAGCTGGGTATTAGCATGCACCTGTAATCCCAGCTACTTGGAAGGCTGAGGTGGGAGGATTGATTTAGCCTGGGAGATGGAGGTTTCAGAGAACTGAGCTGGCGCCACTGTACTCCAGGCTGGGCAACAGAGTGAGATCCTGTCTCAAAATAAAATAAATTTGAGGTGTATTGCCATCTTAACTGAATTTGTTACTGGTGGAAGGTATCCAAGCTACTGGTGGCGAATCTGCAGCGACCTCAATTCTCGCCTCTTCAGAAGAAAGAATTCGCCTGAAGGGCAGAAGGCAGAAGGAAAGACCCAGGCAAGTTTCAGAGCAGGAGCGAAAGTTTATTAAGCCTTAGGCTGGGCATGGTGGCTCTCGCTGGTAATTCCAGTGCTTTGGGAGGCCGAGGCTTGTGGATTACTTGAGATCAGGAGTTCGACTAGCCTGGCCAACATGGTGAAACCCTGTCTCTACTAAAAATACAAAAATTATCTGGGCATGGTGTGTGCCTGTAGTCCCAGCTACTTGGGAGGCTGAGGTAGACGAATCACTTGAACCTGGAAGGCAGAGGTTGCCTGAGAAAGAATGTATATTAAGCTTTAGAGCAGTAAGGAAAGTATAACTTGGAAGAGGGCCAGGTGGGTGAGCTGAGAAACCAAGTGCAGGGCTTGCCCCCTTGACTTGGGTTTTTTTTATAAGCTGGCACATTTCTGGGATCTTTCGTTACTTCTTCCGACTCCTGAGACCTTTTTGGGAAGCTGATGATCAGTTTCAGTTGTTTTCTATTAGGAGCCTACCTGTCCCTGGCATCACCTGTGTGACCAATTATTACTTTAGAGAAACATTTAACAACAACCTGACCATCACCTGATGATTCCCAACACTCTTGGTGCGTGTGGGGGGAGCCCTCTCCTGCCTTGCTCAGACCTGACTAGCTACTCGCTGTAACAAGCTCCTTTGTATAAGTTGATATGGTGACATTTCTTGTCACTGGCTTCATTGTGAATTTTTATAGATGTGGCTAAGTCATATGTTTCCCTTTTGAAAAATTATTTAGTTTTTTTGTCCTAGAAACAACAAACTCACCTCAAAGTGAAGGACCTTGCTGCTTTTATTTTTTGCAGCATTAAAACTATTTTACTCAGGCCAGTGCTGTGGCTCATGCCTGTAATCCCAGCACTTTGGGAAGTTGAGGTAGGAGGATTGCTTGAACCCAGGAGCTCAAGATCAGGCTGGGCAAAGAAATGAGACCCAGTCTCTACAAAAACATTAAAAAAATTTTGCTGGGCACGGCGGGACATGCCTTTAGTTCCAGCTACTCTGGAGGCTGAGGTGGGAGGGTCACTTGAGCCCTGGAGTGAACTAGCCCTGGAGTGAATCTTGCCACTGCACTCCAGCCTGGGCGATACAGCAAAACCCTGTCTCAAGAAAAACCCAAATATATATATATATATACGTATATATACGTATATATATATATATGTAGTGGTTTTTATATGCTACATTTTAAATTTATTGATATATAGCATATTTTAAAGTTATATATTTTAAATATATATAATATACAATATATGTTATATATAATTTTAATAATATATAATATATATATTTTAAGTTCAAATATATATTATTGATATAAATATATATAATAAGCATTACTCATTTTTTCTTTCTTTCTTTTTTTTTTTTTTGAGATGAACTTTCACTCTTGTTGCCCTGGCTGGAATGCAATGGTGTGATCGTGGCTCACTGCAACCTCCACCTCCAAGGTTCAGGAGATTCTCCTGCCTCAGCCTCCTGAGTAGCTGGGATTACAGGCACCCATCACCACACCTGGTTACTTTTTTTTGTATTTTTTGTAGAGACAGGGTTTCACCATGTTGGCCAGGCTGGTCTCAAACTCCTAGCCTTAGGTGATCTGCCTGCATTGGCCTCC